CAACAGTAAAAATAAGGTATCTTCAATACGGAGCCAGCATTTAATCCTGTTATATGCGAGTTTCACACCAACAACCAGCTTGTGATGTTGATAGGCCTTCCCAGCAGCCCCTCCATGCTAACACCAATGTAAAGCTTAACAGCAGCAACTACCAACCAGAACTGGAGGGATAGAGGCGTGAAAACAGACCCAGCAATGTTTTGCCTTCCTCTCTGCCCTCTGTATTAATTTATGCCAGGTCTATTTCCATAATGATATACCCAATGAGAATTAAAAATAAAATTAGATGGAAAAATTTAGCCTAGTTGCAATTACAAAAATTGGTAAAAATTAATTGGACAGTTTCTAAAATAAGAATTACAAGACACTGCTGGATTGGTTTTCCTAAATTTGCCACTTAGTGTTTCACTGTTATCTATAAAGCTCTTATATATTACTCATTGAGATTCAACATTTCCATTTTATATCAATCATATCTGAAACCCTGATTAAAAATAAATTCTTATTAAATGATGCAATCGACAATTGTTATTGGATCAATGACTCACCGTTATCATTGCCAATAATCTTTTTATACATGTATTAAATTGTTCATATTGGCGTACTTTGAATTATTGCTAAAAATTAGGAAGAAAATTTTCATAAGTTATATGAAGATATAACAGGTCATTTACAATCATTGTAAACCATTGTAAACACAAAACTTCAGTAGACGATTCCAAAATGAAAAATCAATACGTCCTCCAGCATGTATTCCATGTAACAAAATTACATTCAAATGCTGTATAATTAATGGATTAATAATATTCTAATCAATGTTCATTGGCCCATTAACTGCACTGACAATCATTTAAGATACACTATATCAATATATCAACAAGTTTAAATAGTTAAATACTTTATGACAATACAATATTTGTGAAAAATAAACAAAAAACTCATTTAAAAACTGTAAACACATTGCAAGAAATCTATCTTCTTTTGGAACAAAAGATAATGTTATGAAAGTCCATTTTTTTAATTAAAATTGTAGTTATTCATATGTATATTAAAACAACATATATATTCAGTACATATACATACAAATTTATATAATATATATATATAAAATATATATATACAGTATGTATAATATAAATACAGTGGTACCTCGCATAACGATCGCCCCAAAAGACGAACATTTTGGGTAACGAATGGCCCGATCAGCGTCAAATCGTCCCGTATGACGAACGCTGGTTTGAGTAACGTCAACACCACACGGTGGGGTCGCGCTGCTTCTTGCACATTCTTAGACGCCTCCGACGATGCACATAAATTATGTTGTTCTTGTTTAAAGATGCTAATGATGCTGGGATATAAAAGGGTGACAGCTGAGATGTTGAAAAGCATTGACGTTTTTGTAGAAAAAAAGAAATGAAATGTCTGATATACAACAAATGTCAAAAAGGTTCGTTCGGTGTTCGGCAGGTAGGCTGCTCCATTATAACAATCTTTCTTTGTTTCAAATGTGTTCCATTTGTTTTGTATTTGTCATTTACGTCTCAATAATGGAGAAGGCTACCTTACATACACTGAATAAACCATTATGACATTTTCCTTTCTTCAAATGTGTTCAATATTTATTTTTCATTTGTCTTATAGCAAAAGGTTCGTTCGGTGGTCGGCAGGTAGGCTGCTCCATGTTTCTTAAATAAAAAAAAAAAAAAACGAAAAATAAAAACTGTTGAAACAATTTGAAAAATGGACAAATGCCATAAAGGTTCGTTCAGTGTTTGTCGGGTAGGCTGCTCCATTATTGAGACGCAAGTGACAAATACAAAACAAATGGAACACATTTGAAACAAAGAAAGATTGTCATAATGGAGCAGCCTACCCAACAAACACTGAACGAACCTTTTGCTATAACGAATATGAAAGACAAGGGCTGCTGGCTGGGTTAGTACTGCGTGAGCAACCATTTGTGGCACACGCGCCTCTGGCTCTCAAACACCTGTCCCACACGGTGTTGAAAGACTGCGCTCAATCGGTGCAATTCAGACCCTATTGTTTGAAGAACATAAGGGTCATAACATTGGTGAAGCTAGGCGCAATAAGGGCTTAACACAACGGTCGGATGCCAGTGATACAGCACCTATGAGGATGATACAGCGAGCGTATCCAGGTGCAGCTCTGAGCCCCACCCTTGCCATCTCGAATTTATATAGATGATACATAGATGAATCGTTTTCGGCGTTCAGTGATGATGCATCTGATACAAGTAGCATAGATGAAGTGTTAGCGGCTTACATGGGGGTGGTGTTCATTGATATTTTCAAGAATACCTGAATCTCTTCCTGATTGATGGACACTCTTTGAGGCTAGCTGAATCTCTTCCTGACTGATGGACACTCTTTGAGGCTAGCTGAATCTCTTCCTGTATGGGACCTTACAAAGCGATCTTTTCAAGCTAGACTACCTTACAAATTGAGCTTTTCCTATAATTGTTTCAATACTACCTTATGCTTTACAAGCTTGGCTACATACCACCTACAAGTACTAAAGCCAAGGGTGTATGCGAGTGCGTTATTTGCAAGCACACAGAACGATGAAACAGGAAACGAAAATCTATCTGTAGCTGGTGCAATGAGAGCAAAGTCGCGCTGTGTACCATGGACTACTTCGTTGATTATTACTCACTTCCAAAGTACTGAGTGTGTAATACAGTGTGTTACTGTGTAAATAGTATGTGAAACTGTACATATTGTAATTTTAGTGAATTTTTACCATGTAATATTGTGACCATAAACATTTATTGTGGACACATTACTGACACATGTATCACAGTTTCATGGAAAATTATGAACATTCTACTGTATACATATTGTAAAGGTCACAAATATGCATCATATACGATAAAAGAAACAAATAAAACCGCATTGAAAATACATAGAAAAAATATTTGAAAATATATTTGTGGCAACACGCGGTGCTTGAATGGCCTGCGCGACCGTGTCTGGGAGCTTTACACACGAGCGACCAGGCCCTGATGACGTCACAGCGCACCTTGTCGACTCCCTCACAGCCAAAGTAAGTGGAATTTGGTAATTATTTTTACATAGACATGTTCAGGGACGGTAATTTATCATTTTGCAAAGAAAAATGATATTTTGGGGAACATTTGATGTCATGCACTCTGGGGGAATTTCACAATAAACAGTGCATCACACTGGTCACATGGGGGGACACTCGTTTTGTAAGACGTCCGTTCCACATGACGAACATGGAACGGATTAAATTTGTTATGCGAGGTACCACTGTATATATAATATATATATATAATATATATATATATATATATATATATATATATATATATATATATATATATATATATATATATATATATATATATATATATATATATATATATATATATATATATATATATATATATATATATATATAAATATATATATATATATAATATATATATATATATATATATATATATATAATATATATATATATTATATATATATAATTATATATATATATATATATATATATATATATATATATATATATATATATATATATATATATATATATATAATTTATATTTTTATATATATTTATATTCTGAAGAAATTTGTAAATACAGTACTCAAGATTCATCAGATGAAGACAAATAACAGCACTAGTCTACTGTGCCTACATCAAGTTTAAATACTCAATCTCAAAACTTAAGTAATATCAAACTTAATGCAGCACAAGACAAAACTTTTAAAACTAAATTTATGCATGAAGAGGAATGACCAAATATTTTAACTTGCAGATCAATTATAATAAAATTATTTTCCTTAAACCCACTTGCATGCATCCTTGGATCTACAAGTCATAACAATGGTTTAGTAGCAAACTTCGTCCATGTAGGGTGGACGATGTGAATGAGTTATGACTGAAGAAACAGATGGAACTTTAAATATACTGAGAAGCCTAGTGACCTTAGAAAGTGTGACAAAGGTATTCACATAGTGCCATCTTCTTAGCTTTAAGAGTTGGTTTTATTCAGTGTAAATTTATTTTGAAGAACTAATACTGTATTTTTCTTGCATTCTTGAATTTAATTTTGTTTTGTTTTACACATGTAGGTTATTGGTGGAGAAGGGAAGAAGTATGTAGGTAGGTAAGGGAGCAGGTACAGGGGTGGGTGTGCGTGTGAAGTGTGTATTGAGTGTGCGCGTGGTGTGTGTTTTGAGTATATTCTGTGTGTGTGTGTGTGTGTGTGTGTGTGTGTGTGTGTGTGTGTGTGTGTGTGTGTGTGTGTGTGTGTGTGTGTGTGTGTGTGTGTGTGAGAGAGAGAGAGAGAGAACTCGCCTAGTTGTGTATGTGGGGGTTGAGCTCTGGCTTTTTGGTCCCACCTCTCAACTGTCAATCAACAGGTATACAGATTCCTGAGCCTATTGGGCTCTATCATATCTACACTCGTGTGTGTGTGTGTGTGTGTGTGTGTGTGTAAAAAAAAATAGTAGAAACAGTTGATTGACAGTCGAGAGGTAGGCTGAAAGAGCAGAGCTCAATCCCTGCAAGCACAACTAGGTGAATACAACTAAGTGAATACATACATACACACACACACAAAGCAGCCTATTTACTGCTGGGTGAACAAAGGCATCAGGGTGAAAGAAACTCTGCCCATTTGTTTCCACCTTTGCCAGGGATTGAACCCGGACCCGAAGGACTACGAATCCCGAGCACTGTCCACTCAGCCCTCAGGCCCTGTGTGTGTGTGCACGTGTGGGGGGTTGTGCGTGTGTGGGGGGTTGTGCGTGTGTGGGGGGTTGTGCGTGTGTGGAGGGTTGTGCGTGTGTGGGGGGTTGTGCGTGTGTGGGGGGTTGTGCGCGTGTGGGGGGTTGTGCGCGTGTGGGGGGTTGTGCGCGTGTGGGGGGTTGTGCGCGTGTGGGGGGTTGTGCGCGTGTGGGGGGTTGTGCGCGCGTGCGGGGTTCGTATGTGTGTGTGTGTGTGTGTGTGTGTGTGTGGGGTGGGTGCGTGCATGGGGGGTGCGTGCATGGGGGGTGCGTGCGTGCGTTTGGGGTGCGTGCGCGCGTGTGGGGTGCGTGCGCGCGTGTGGGGTGCGAGCACATTTTGTGTGCGTGTAGGGAAGGGAAGAGATGGGTTGCATATGTATGCTTATATTTGTACAGCATGTGTAAGGCAATGAAGCAATTATTACATCTCAATATGCCATACCCATCCAGGAACTTGCCAAAATTAAGATTTGCTGATTATATATGGATATGAGTCGCTATCACTCCAAGTTGGGGATCCACCACAAAGTTCTGTATCCTCAAGCTAATAAAAATCACTAATACATTATTTTTCTTACAAATAATTACCAAGGTCTATATTGCTAACATTTCATTGGTTACCTTCATTCGAACAAATCCATATTAACTAAATAATGGTGATATTGCGTATCCATAACCAAGTACACAATTATCATACCATCCCTAAACACCATGTGCCTGACTCTAGTTTAACAATTGGAAATACTGAAAAAGAGCCAAATTTGGATGTTTGAGCAGATATATGCATGATGTTTGATCATATAATGGCAGAGGGACTCTCACGAAGTTATACAGTTTCATATTGTCGCTTCAGGGATTTGGCAAGACAGCAGGCAAACGCCACACCAATCAGCTGAAATGCACAAAATTTTAGTTATACTACTCTTCCTTGCAAATTAAAACATGTTTAATCTCAAGAGTATCAAATTCAAAATTCAAATTTTTATTCAGGTAAAAGTACATACATAGATGAAAAGTTACAAACAATGTTGGATTTAGAGAGAGCTAGTACATACAATACCTAAAGCCACTAATATGCATAGCGTTACGGTATCAAAAGAATTAAAAATAGTTAACTGAAGGGCTAGCTCATCCAGGCAACTAAGCAATTTAAATGTAAACTTGCTCAGCCTAAGACAATATTAATTAAAAAGTCAACATTTAGTCTAATCCACAAATGACAAACTCTACACAGTATATATATAAAAAAAAAAAAAGTTGAATGTAATGAAACACCATTTTCTGGGCGAGTCCCGGAGGCTCCCCAGAGCTATCCATGGCTGATATGGCAACCCGTTCTCGCAAATTTAATAAGTCAATATTGACTTATTAAATATGTGCATAGGTGACATACTTAACATAATAGATACCCTTAAAAAGATTCATAGAAAACACCGACCTTACCTAATCTACTTAGTATGTTAAGATAAGCATCTTATTGCTTCGTAATTACAATTACTACCTAACCTATAATAGGTATAGGTTAAGTAATAATTGTAATTACGAAGCAATAAGATGCTTATCTTAAGATACTAACAAGGTTAGGTAAGGTCGGTGTTTTCTATGAATCTTTTTAAGGGTATCTATTATGTTTAGTATATCACCTATGCACGTAGTTAATAAGTCAATATTGACTTTACGAATTTGCGAGAACGGGTTGGATATGGATATCCTAACTATTTTGCATCAGTCGATGTGGGTGGAGTTCTTGCCTACCGGGAACCACGAGCCAGAACCTGGCCCCCCCTCACAGAGGCACAGGGAGCAATGGCCCATAGAAATGCACATGTGATTTGGAGCATTCTATATCTGCCCAGAAAGCAGAAAGGTAAGCACCCAGAAAGGTAAGCGCCACAAAACAAACCCCTATTCTGGCTAACAACGAAAATTGACAAACGAGTGGACAGAACTCCCCAAAAGAAAGACGAGCAAATAAGCATGATGTCACACGAGCCGCGCCGCATGCCTGCTCAGCTCCCCTCTCCCCGGGAGGGGAAAGGGGGAGCCCCATATCCCCGAGCCGGCGATCCACGCCCCAGTTCAGAGGCTGGATATCAAAACCGCGAAAAAAACGCCGACCAGAGGGCAGGAGGGATGCCGGGGAGCCTCTGGGACTCACCCAGAAAATGGCGTTTCATTACATTTAATGCTGGCTTTCTAGAGGGAGCCCCTACAGCTCCCCAGAGCTACCTCACCAAAAACTACCAAGAAAACCAAGGGGACTTACCCGGGAGGCGGTCGGTGCTCCACTCCTCAACGCGAAGACGAGACAACGGGCTGCAACCGCCAACCTAAAGTAACATAGGCCCGACTGGGCCCAGGAACGTTTACAAGGTAGCGTGCAGCCATGACCCTGTTCGTCCGCCAAAATCCCCGTGCCCGAATGTCAACCCAAGACATATTACTGAAGACGGCAGCAAGCAGCAAACTTACGAACGTCATGGGCATGGGGATAGACCACAGGCTGGTTGGATTTAATAACCCTGCAGACGACCCGAGAGACCCGAACCCACGAACAGGGAAGAAGGGAAACCGGATCAACCCAAAGCGTGTCCCCGGACACAGAAGCTGTGGCGCACAGATAACAGCGGAGGGCCGCAACCGGAAACAACACATGGTGAACCCCCAGCCTGACAAACCAAGCATCCACAACCCAAGGACCCCTCCGGAAAGCAGCAGTCTCAATCTTCGCCAGAAAAGAGTGAGACGGCTGCAAACGAACAAACCGAAGACCACGACCAAAGGAGCAAAAACCTCTGCGCAGGAGTAGAGCATGAAGCTCCGCAATACGAACCCCAGAAGCTAATGCCAACAGAAAGAGAGCCTTAGCAAAACAATCTTGAACTGAAAGGGTCACAACAAACCGAGGAGAGGAAAGATAGAAGAGCACTCTCTCCAAGGACCAGAATGGCTCAGGCGGCGCATGAGCAGGCCGGAGGTAAAACAACGCACGAGACAGCTTGCGAAACGGCACAGAAGTAACATCAATACCAAAAGCAAGGTGCAGCAGCTGCGTCAGCGCCGCACGATACGAGACGACAGTATTAGACATCAGAAGACTGTCCTGAAACAACCTAGATAGAAAGGACACCACCACCCGAACCGATAGCGAGGAACAATGACGAAGGGTCAAAAAGAACCGGAAGGACCATCAGGAAACTTCATACTGCCGCTGAGAGGAAACTCGCAAGTGAGAAACCAACAAGGAAGTCACCTGCCCACCATAAAGATGGTGATAAACACGAGTCAAAAACACCAAACGCAAAGACTAGTGGAGAAGAGCGAACCAGTCACGTACTGGACCAGCCCGATCTCCTGAAAGAGGCGGAGCCACGGAAAAACCTTCGGGTTCAGACACTGGGCAAGCATCACCTGAAACCATGGCTGGGCCGGCCACCATGGGGCCAAGAGGACCATTCGACCCTGATAAGTCTCCAAGCGAGCCATGACCTGGAGCAGCAGCTGAACTGGGGGAAAGAGGTACAGGAACCCCCACCTCTACCAGTCCTGCCGAAAAGCATCGATCCCGACAGCCTCGAAGTCAGGGAAGGGTGCCACGTAAACCGGAAGATGCCTTGACCACGCCGACACGAAGAGGTCCACCTCCGGGCACCCGAACGTCCGGCAGAGCCAACTGAAGGAGTCGGCATCGACCGTCCATTCTGTGGACAGGGGAACGAACCTGGACAGGCCGTCCGCCAGGATGTTGGACACCCCCCGGACGTGAACTGCCAGGAGAGCCAAACCCCAAGAACTCGGCAGACAAGTCGTCCGAAGTGACCAACCCCAAAGAGCCAAGGAGCGCATTGAACCTCCTCGGTTCAGACAACAAACCACCAGGGAGGCGTCCGAAAGGAGCCGGATCGTTGATCCGCGGGCGACTCGAACCCTCCATAGCGCAAACCACACCGCCACAAACTCCCGCACCGTGCAGTGGACCCGACGGAAGGATGGACCCCATCGCCCCTGGCCGGCCTGGTGAGCACTGGTTACAAAACCCCAGCCTAGAGACGACACTTCCAAGGTCAGATCAAGCGAGGGCCCTGGCAAGCACCAAGGCACTGAACCCCGAAAAACCCAGAGGAAGCCAGCGACGCAGCAGCTGACACAAAGCCCCCAGGGGCAAACCCAGCGATCACAAAAGAGGCGGAAGGGACGTCCCCGAAGGACCCAGAACAGCCGACGAAGCCAAACCGGACCCGGCGGGCAGACCAACATCGCGAAGTTCAGGCTCCCACACAAACCCTCGAGCAACTGCCGGGTGACCCGGGAGCCCCCCAGAAACGGACACAGGCGAGACCGCAGCCGAAGGAGACACTCCGGAGGAAGAGACAAGGACGCGGTCCGAGAGTCCCACACAAGACCCAGCCAGGACCGAACCTGGGAGGGCACCAAATGGGACTTCCGCCAGTTCACCAGGAACCCAAACCCGCCGAGCTGGGAAAGCACCAAATACCTGGCGAGAAGACACGCGGACAGACTGAGAGCCCAAACCAGCCAGTCGTCAAGGTAAGCCAACACCCGAACACCTAACAGACGCAGACGGGCCATCATGACCCGGGTAAGACGCGTGAACACGCGAGGTGCCAGGTTCAACCCGAAGGGGAGACAACAAAAACGGTAGCACTGACGCCCCACAATAAAACCGAGCCAGTCCCGGAACCCCACATGAATAGGGACATGCCAATACACGTCCTTGAGATCCAGGGACACCATCCAAGCACCCGGCTCCAACAGAAGCCAGACCTGGGACAGAGTGGTCATCCGAAACGAGGGGCAAGAAACCCAAGGATTCAGAAAGGACAAGTCCAGAATGAACCGCAGGTCCGCACAGTCCCGTTTCGGAACTGGAAACGGGCGGAAAATCCACCTGAGGGGATTCGAGTCGTTTCGACTACGCCCAAGCGTACCCACTCCACGATGACCCGATGGAGCGCAGGAGAGGAAACCTGCCCCGTCAGCCCCGAACCCCCCCGTAGGAGGAGGAGCCACCCAACGCCACCGCAGGCCGTGAGAAACGATCCGAAAAGCCCACATATCGTGAGACCAGGCGTGAACGAACAGAGACAGCCATCGGCCCATCAATGGGCGAACCGCAAAAGGACCGCTGCCCCTTACGAGAACCTGACCTGCGCTCAGAGCGAACACCACGCCGACCAGGCACAGGTGGGACCGCAGGGGGCACCGGCACCGAACCCGACACCTGTGGCCCACCCCGACGAATGGAACCACGAGCCCTGGTACGACCCCGCCAGGAAAAATTCCCCCGGTTCCCCGGAGCACTAACAACTCAGACATAGGGCGGCAAGAGGAAGAAGCCGCCTGAATATAACGCTCAACTGCAGAAACCTCAAAAAGCAGAGGACAAAAGGAAGAAGACAACCTAAGAACCAGGGCCCAAGCAAATTCCAAGGAGGAAGCAAGGATCGCCTGACGACACACGAAACGCGCAGCGAGAAACTGCAGCAACGCCTCCCACAAGATCGGCGCAAAAAGCTTCAACATGACAGACGACACCCGAGCAGCCAAGACCAAAGCGTCAGACCCAGGAACGACCTCAAGCGCCTAAACATCAAGCCAATCTGAAGATAGCTCCAGGAGGGAAAAGAAACGCAGGACCGAAGCCAAAAAGCCACGAGCGCGCAAAACAAGAGCAGCTGACAGGGAAGGAACCTGCACATACAGCTGCACCGCATCAACATCCTGCAGAAGGGCAGGAGCAAAAAGACACTCATTATAAGATGCTCAAAATCACCCCCAGGTAAACCTGGACCACCGTCAATGTCTCACGCCACTCAAACGTGCAGGTTCGACAGAACGAGGCCCAAACATCCTGCGAAAACAAGGGGCAGTCTGCAAGCCAGGATGACCCTGGAACCTCATTAACGCACCCAGTAAGGACACGACGATCCAAACCTGAAAGAAGAAGGATCCATTATGGAAGCTTACTCCGGGTCACACAAGAGGTAAGCCGCAAAGGCCGACCGCACCTCCGGCGGAGAGATGCGGGGTAGCCGAAAACCTCCGGAAAGACGGAACCGAAGAATCCACAGGGACACGGAACCAAACCCGGGGAGGAGTAGAACCCAAGTCCAAATAGTACGCAGAGGGGGGAAAAGGAAAACCCCACTCCTTGTAACAGTAAGCCCCGCTCAGAAGGACGGAAAATCCAGGCGGGGTCCAATGGAGCCCAAGGCCCCCACAAGCTGAACCCACAGGACGTGTCCACTCGCGAAGGCGAAGCAAGAGGTGCCACCACACAAACGACCCTAATTTAAGGGGAAGGGAAAAACACAAGGCAGACCCCCCACCAGGCAAAAAAAAAAACAAAAAAAAAAAACACACAAGTGGACAACATACCCAGTGGGAACAGAGCCGGCCGATGTTATAGGTGAAAACTAGCTACGCAGTACCCTGCACCCCACCAGTGCTATAACTACCACTTACCCCAAGGTAAACAAGGGAGGAAAACCCCCAAACACTCGGGGCGGCCAAACGCCAAGCAGCGAAAAGCCAACAGAGGTAGACCCAAGGTGACTTGTGGAAGGCAACCCTTTCAACCCCTGTAAGTACCCCAAGGGCAGTACTTAAAGGGTACTCAGGGAAGGAAGGACCCTAAGCACATGCAGCCCAAGTACCTGAGAATAATACTCCCAGCTCACATGACCACCGTAAGAGCAGCACTGAAAACAAGTCACAGCACTGAGACAAGACTGGAGCTGGAGCCACACGACCATGCACTATCCCATCAGCCGAGTAACTGGGGCGTGGATCGCCGGCTCGGGGGTCTGGGGCTCCCCCTTCCCCCTCCCGGGGAGGGGGGAGCTGCGCAGACATGCGGCGCGGCTCGTGTGACGTCATGCTTGTTTACTCTTTCTTTTGGGGAGTTCTGTCCACTCGTTTGCCAATTTTCGTTGTTAACCAGAATAGGGGTTTTTGTGGCGCTTACCTTTCTGGGTGCCTGTCCCGGTCGATGGCAGATATAGAATGCTCCAAATCACGTGCATTTCTATGGGCCATTGCTCCCCGTGCCTCTGTGAGGGGGGGCCAGTTTCTGGCTCGTGGTCCCCGGTAGGCTAGAACTCCACCCACATCGACTGATGCAAAATAGTTAGGATATCCATATCAGCCATGGACAGCTCCGGGGAGCCGTAGGGGCTCCCCCCCCCCCAGAAAAAAAGTTGAATGTAATGGAACGCCATTTTCTAGGCGAGCTCCAGAGGCTCCCTGGAGCTATTGGACTGATATTTCCTATTAGATCACATTGCACATCTTCAACGTTTTCTTTGATATATCACATTCTTGTGACTCTGCATATTCAGATTTGCATAAAATTTGTAAATACCTGGACAAATCCAATGCCTATGGCCACTCCTCCCAAGATGGTGACATTCTCTTTCGCATCTCCCTTAAGCTTGTCAAAGCAGCCTTCCTGGTTGATGTATGTAAGCTGAAAAAAATACAACCAATAATAAGAATTCACCAAAAAACTTTAAATAACCATTTCCTTATACAACAATTAGTTAAACAAAGTAGCAATTAACCCCTCAAGATAAATTACAGACAAAATGCAGTGAGTATACTGTTGCCACCTGGCTTATTGGCTATTGGTAAATTATCGACTAATTTACTATTTGGCAGACAAATACATACTTTTATACAGAAATAACTACTGAATGTTTAACATTGAATATAATTTTCCATTATGATTCCATTGTTTTTGGATATACAGTACTGTAGTGCTATTGTCATATAATCGAAATCGAGAGCGAGTTTGACAGTTTCTCGATTCGGACAAAATAATTATTGACCATAACTGTTGGATTATCGAACAACATATAGCAGCCTAGTTTACAAATACAGTACATTAAAATGTTACCTTAATAGCAAGTTATATAAAAATGTCTGAAATATTTCAATAAACAATTTATTATTACAAATAAAGGAGCAAGGCCACCACTATACCGACTAGTTATAACCACATTTCAACAGTCAGTACAACTGCATCGGTTCTCGCGGGTTGGCGTTCAATCCCCGATGATCCAAGTGATTGCCGCTAATCCTTCACTCCATACCCTTATCCTTTCCAAGTGCTATATAATGTAGTTAAACTGGCTTAGTGCTTTATCCTGCTTATTACTTTACCTCCCTGCTAAAATAAATTAACCCATCTCAACCCTGTGAGATAGTAATGCATTTCTGCCCTCTTATGTGATACAAAGCAAACCACTCCATATCTGAAGGTTTTCTTTACCAAAATGCTTTTTTCGGTATAAACTTTCTTAATTTCGTAGTCAAGATGCATAAGAGAAGCAGCAATTAACTTGAAGGTCTAATGTCCCAGGTTATGGTATGACAACTAAAGACAAGATTATTTGGAGCAATGATGGTTATACTGGAGAAGGTTATGGGCAATGGGGAGGGAGCCAAGATGGAAAGTACACCACAAAATACAATCATTCGTGACAAGCACTGATCACTTAATTATGCTTCCTACAGCATAAATCCAGATTCAAAAGTTTGTTTCAACATCTGGCACACTTCATTTAATTTGCCCAGAATTAGATAAGGTTGATTAAATTGTTAATAGGCAGATAAGTTACAATTAACATGGCTGAAGATATGATGACTACACCACACAACAGAAGATGGAAAAACGATGTTTTGGTCCGTCCTGGACCAAAACAGTCGTCTCTTGTTCTTTCGATCTGTGATTTGGTCATCGTGCTAATAGGCACATCTTATATTATATTTTCACATACAGTGCAGTATTAAAATCCTTCAAATTGAATGCACACAGTCTACACTTTTGTAAACTAAAATATAATATTCCAATATGAGGATAATCAAGACAATGTGTGTGGAAATACAAATTCAATTAGTTGCTTTTAAAACCGTTTACTATTTTTCCCCATGAACTGTAAGAACATTGTATAATCGATAGATGTCTACCCCTTTCTGTGATATAATTTAGCAAGGTAATTTATTGCAAAATTTGATTTTATTGACATTGTGCTAACCTGTTGAGGTAGTTTGTTAAATGTTTTGTTGCCACAGCCAATGGTGTTCTCCTTGCAGCAAGCATCAGGAACTCCATTGATGGCTTCTCCAAAGGCCGTCGCCTTCCAATCTGTGTAATTATCCGTACCACAGCAGGCATGCTAAAACAAAGATAGATTACACACTACAAGACACTAGACTATAATGTGCATTGGGCACTAATGAAAGAACTTCCATAAATTATGGTAAATATTTGTCTTGTCATTCTAATATTATTTGCAGTGTTATACAGTCTTGCTGCTTGCCATCTTCCTTCCTACAAATTTTTACTTTCTAGTATAATGTTAAGTAACATAGTTTCAAGGGTTTTATGTATCTCATTTCTAATTAAATTTTCTTGGGTAGTATTAAAAAATAAAAAGTTGAAAAATGTTGCCACTGCAGGTACCCTTTCACTATGTGGACACTACTGAAATGCAAACTCAAAATGCATCTTCCATCGGCATGGCAGCGAGGAATAAACCAAGGGACAAGTCACATTTGATGCCTTCACCTTATCTTAAGAGGTGCTAACCATATTGGTATTCCAGCAATGTTGCCAAACAAGAAGGTGGTTGACCTGATCACGGGATGGAAATCACCAAATGGGAGGTAATACTGAGGAAATTGATTTAACTAATGAATTCTTGTGCAGACGAGACGTCACAGTAACGTGGCTGAAATATATTGACCAAACACAATCGACTTGAGAATGGTTCAGGACGAACCGAAACGTCGTCGTCCCTTCACTTTCTAGTGTGCGGTTTGGTCAACATAAGGAATTTTTGGCTGCCTCACTGGCTACTGAGGCAGCCGGTGAGACAGAGCCTTGACATGTGCAGTACACTGGCAAGTATCTTATTTAAGAGCTACACTTCTTCAACACCAGTCAAATTAATTCACGGAAATGTGTGTGAAAGGCTCCATGGTATGGAGTGCACTCCTAGGATGGCTAACAATAGCAAAATAAACATACTTGTCATAATTTTAAGAGCAAGCAGGATAGCCAAATGCTTGACAAAAGTGGTGCTGTGGCACACAGTGGATAACACCAAACACTACTTCAAAATACAAAATCATTATCAGGTTTAGAGCATAATGAAAAAAAGAATGATATCTGAGTAAACACTGAAGCCATGTGACAGGATCAAACCCAACCCTGAACACCTCAGGCGCGCACATTTGAAGCATGCATCAGGTAGTGTACGTACCTGAGAAGTTCAGGGTTGTGGGTTCTGTAACACCCATGACCTCTCCCCCCCCCCTTAGAGTTCACACCCAGGGAAGCCTTCTCCAAGAGGTCAGCCCAGATGACCTCCGGATTATCTTGTATGTTGATTAAAAAATTCCTGGGTTAGTCTTAGTCAGCATAATTTCAAGTATGTAATATTTCATGATACTCTTGTCAAACATTGCAAGGGAATTAGACTCCAGATTCTTATGTGTAAACATCCTTGGATCTCCCCCTTTTGGCCAGGTCAGAGGTCAGTCACACATGTAATTAATAACTCCTCTCTTGAAGAGTGTATGGTGAATATCAAACAAGCTTAATTGAAATTTTTTTTTAAGTGTTTGTGCACGTGTGGCCCGACCCCCCCTAGCATTTCTGATCTAGGTAGCAACAGTAAATCTCCCCTCCCCCCTTTTGGGGTATATATATATTGGTCCTGTAGAGATTTAGGAACAGTGCGGGACACCAGGATCGAGAGCGGGTCTGTGAAGAACATCTCAGCCAGGGAGAGACAAAGGTCTTAAGGTAATGTGTGTGATCTCTGAGGTTTTGTTCCATGTCCAAATTTCTTAAATTTTTGCGAGTGTTAGAGTAGAATTTATAAGTGGTGATTGACATAATTTTGGTCTCAATAAACTCATGTTAAATTTCCCGTCTGTGTCAATTGTTGAATCCTCTTAGCCTTTTGGATATAGTGGCTGACAACCGTTTTCATAATTAATGACAGTCATAGAAAGTACTCTCCAAGTCAAGCAATGTTTCTTGCCTCATTGCTTGATGTTTTCTCAATGGAGAAGGCAGATGGTGGCAGCGTTATTTAATCCTGTGTAGCATTTCCTTGTTTTGCAGTGTACCTTTTGGTTCCGGTGTAACCATCATATGTCAGCTCATAACAGTGTTACCAAGTGCAACCGATGGGGAAGTGTTACTCAGGATAAGTAGTGTTTACATTATTAGTTTAGATACATTATAGTGGTGTTCCATTATAGTGGTGTTACATTTAGAGCGGTGTTACAGTTCAACTCCATTGTATAATGTCAATATTTTGTTCACAGAATTAGATCAGTCTGTAAAATCAGGACCAAAGCCCTCATACATGGAGGAATGTTGGGGAATTTTGCTTCACCCAGACTGCAATAGGATGCATTACAACCACATTTCAATGACCTTAATCTGTAATCTCTTATGCAAAATCTAGAACAAAAACTAGATCTAGTATTGGGCCTCTGCAAAAGGAAGATGGAACCTTCACAGATGACAACATACCTGGAGAAACAATGACATTAGCAAAATAACCGAGACAAAAGTATAATTCTGTTTAGAGTGAGCCTCTATACACATTGAAGATTGATAACCGAAACGAAATCTTCATGAATGTGATACCAACATTAAATCATATATACATCAGATGTCACCCCTAACCCCACTTGATTTTGAAGTAGCCATAGTCAGTATACCTATGCACTCTGTACAAGTACAATTCCTGGAACTACAAATTCATCAAGAACTGCACAAAAAACACTATTGCAAGCCCTAAGCTTTTTTTGGAAATGGACCTTAGATACTTGTGTTATCATTGACATACTAAAAACAGCAGAGATAGCACCACACCATAAAAGAGGAAATAAAGGAGTCCTTTTATTCCCTCCCCTGCAACTGCGGGGAAGAGAATTCCCGCCCCTATAACTGTGCCACAAGGATTTATGGGTACCTGCAGTCCCCGTGGTGTAGTAGAAGCACACTCGCCTGGCATTTTGCGAGTGCTTTGGCCTGGGTTTGTATCCTAGCTAGGAATGATTGACCGGGTGCCAATCCTTAACTGTAGCCCCTGTTCACCCAGCAGTGAATGGGTACCTAGTTGTTAAATAATTTGGCGGGTTGTATATCAGGGAAAAATTAGGATTAAGGACTTTCCCGAAACACTATGCGTGCTAGTGGCTTTACAAGAATGTAAACACTTGAATATACACGTTACGACCCTGGGTTCCTCAAGTGGAAACCAGAGGTCAAAATTGAACTAAATAAGCTACGCTAGATTAACAAGACGCAAGTCGATGTGTCTCTGTTCGTATCTTCCCTGCCAAACGTAGGACGAATCTTGTTGCTCACAAGCATTCAAACTCTTGAGCTTGTTGTGGATTAAGTATAACATTGTTATAAGATTAACTACCCTGAGAACGAGGAAAGTAACAATATGTTGCATAGGGGAAGATTTTTAATGTGTTTAGCTGCACGATCAATTAGGCTCTTCCTGGCACCACCTCAATGCGGGAGGCCTGAGCTGGTGGCTGGAAGCGGTCTTCTCTGGCTGGCGTTCGTGGTGTCGAGACCTACTCTGTGGCTGCACCCCCTACTCTGTGGCTGCACCTCTCCTCTTCTCCCTTCTCCTCTTACTTATTTCCCTTACTTTAAGTTCCTGTACCATTAAGTTTGTACTTACTGTGTGTTTTAAGTGTGCCTACTCTGGTAGTAACGATTGGTGAGACCTGGGGGTAGTATTTACCAGTGTTTTGGGTACCCCTAAGTGTTGTGTTTTGTATTATGGTACTACGTGGTCTCATTACCCTAAGCTGCATCTAGCTTCAGTGCTTATCCAGTAGTACTTTACCCTAGCTTGTTCACAGTGTAAACCTTGTATCCTGTCTATGTGGACCAAGGCTTTTAACGTAAGATAGTGTGGTAAAGTAATTATTATTATTGTTATTGGTGTGAGTGTATATGGGGAGTTGTTAAGGGGTTAATAATAAGTAAGTAGTAACGGAGTATCCCTACTTCCTGTGTGAGAGTGCTAGGATCAACCTCTAGTCTGACATGGTCTAGTAGCAAGTTATTATTACTGTGGATAGTTTATTTTGGGGGCTGGGCCCTTTAGTTCTCCCATATTTGATAACTCTGAATGCTACCTACTGCCCCTACACCCATGTTATAATAGATCTCCCATAGTACAGACACTCCATTATTTAACAAGTGGGAGCCTGTCCGGGAGGAACAGTAAATTAAAAAATTAATTTTTGAGTGCCAAAACTAAAAATTCTTGTTTTCCGCAGAACGGTTGTGTGTTAGCCTAGGGTCCAGCTCATCTAGCAAAGGATTCATTTTTACTGACTGGACACCTAGCTGGATCTCTTCACGATTGAGGTAAGTGTGGCCTTGTGTTAGGGGCCGTGCAAATTTTTGTTTTTTCCAACTTTTATTTTTAATTTTTTCTTTGGCTAGGAACTAAATTAATTAGTGATGGCATCTGAAATGCAGGAACTGGCAAAGGATCCTTCAGTGGTAGAGATAAAGAAACTTACCAAGTCTATTTTAGTATTGTTAGGCAAGGAATTTGGCCTAGAATTAAATGACACGGATAAAAAGTGGACTTTGGTGAATGAAATATTACAACATTGTATTGATCAAGAACTATTGGCAAGTGATACACCTTTATGCCAGCCTAGCCAAGCGGAAAGTGCAGCTCATAGGGACAGAGTTAGCTCTAGAGTTAGCAAGAATAAAATTAGAGGAGCAAAGACTCAAAACCGAGGAGGCTAGAATTAGAGCAAATGCCACTGGATCTCCACCTGCCGGGGATTCAAACCCCAGGCATTATGAGAAAAAGCATAACTTGCCTGAATTTTCAGTCGGACCCTGAAAGGTTTTTCAACCATTTTCAGAGATTGGCCATGTCCATGAACTGGCCAAAGGAAGAGTGGGTGAAAATCCTACAGGGAAGACTTAGGGGTAAGGCCCAAGATATTTTTATACAGTAAATATGCCTGACGAAGAGTGTTTTGAATATGATAAAGTCAGGGAACGTATTTTGCGGGCATATGAAATTACGCCTGAAGCTCACCGGCAAGCTTATCGCAACCTTAGGCCTACTCACAACCAACCGCTCACTGAATTTGT